CTCTTAGAGCTGGCATCTTTGGGCTGCGGCTGAGAACAGCCCCGGCACCTTCCGCCGTGCCCCGTCCTGGAACACCGCGCTGCGGGAGCTGCCCCGTGGAGGGTGCAGGGTGTCGGGGCTCGGCGGGGCGGGGGATCCCCTCTCCCAGTCCGGGGTGACAGCGCCAGCAGCACCTTCCGGGCTCTGCGAGAGTCGGGCAGGGTCACACCGCCCGCTCTGCCTCGGCCGCCCCGCCCCGGGCGCGCAGGTGTCGGGCGGGGTGGGATGTGCACGGTGCCATGGCGGGGGCGGCGAGGGACACCCCGGCGGGACAGGAGGAGGTGAGGGGCTGCGGGCGTGGTTACACGGCCGTCGGGGGGCTTGGGGAGCCCCTCGGGCACAGCCTGGGGCGGAGTGGTGTCGGGGTCCCGCCGCGCTGGTGTTTCGCTCTCATCGCGGGTGGGTTGCGGGCGCTCGGCGGTCCGGGCAGCCTGAGCTCGCTGCCGCCGCGGTTCGTGCGGTGCTTCGTGCGCGGTCTCGGCGAGTACCTGGAACAGCTCTTCAACCCCTCCCGCTGCCCCTGCGCTCTCTCTGGGCAGCGCCGTAGCCCCGCTGTCTTCCCTGGATTCACTGTCCGCTGCCGTGGCAGGAAAAAGCGCGTTCCCTTCCCACCCCTCTCCCCTCCGGGCCTGCCTCCCGGACCGAGGCGGGTGAGAGAGATGCTGGAGGCAGGAGAGGTTCGCTCCCCTCAGTAACTCCTGACTTCCAGGTGTGTGTTGTGAGCGACTGAGTGTTTAATGCTGCCCCTTCAGGCTCGGTGCTCGCCGAGGTGGGAATGGGAGCAGGGTAAGGGGTGAGCGAGGACATCCCCACTCCGTGACTCTCGAGGGGAAACCAGGTAAAACTGGGAAGGGGCAGCTTCCAAGCAGAGAAGCTGAGGTAGCTTTCCACAGCACAGGGGAGAGTGTTCAGGTCCTGGAGCTTATCAGCCACGGTGGGCATGTGCCGTTCGGGGTTCGGTTTTTTTAGGGTGCATTGATGGCAGAAGTCTGAAGATTTTCCACAGGCACACACCAATTTTGGCTCGCAGAGTCCCTTAGCATTATTAGCAGATGGAAGAGTATCCTGGGAAAGTACTGCTTTATCCCACCTTATATGCCCTTTCTAGGTGTCTGCATCCAAGCCCTGCTCCTGTTGTTTCTTCCACTCAAGGGTAGGCTGATGTCATTAGGAAACCTGAAAACAGTTCTCAAGGTGCTTGGTGTGAGGGCACCTGGGATGCCACCTATGACTATCACACTCATGCTTCCAAGAGGCAGTTGCTTCATCACTCACAGAACAGAAACATTACCAGTGTTAATTCTCTGTTGAGAGAAAAGCTGACTCAAAAGCTGCTCCTCTCTAGCTGCATTTCATTGTTTCTCAGATAAACCTAGACTAGCATTTATCTTTGAGTCACAGGTTTTGTTCTCTTTCCTTACTGCTTTTAATATACTTGTTGGTTGGGTTCTGGACTCAACTGATAACAAATAGTTTAGGACAAAACAAGGCTGCTCCCTGTGTCCATAATGTAAGTGCAATATCTACACATAGCTGCAAGGAGTTGTTTTCAGCGTGCTTAAATACTTTTCTTAGAAATAAGATGGTCTGTTATAAATTTCTGTTCTGTTGGGGAAGGGAAAATTTACAAGTTTGGTTTTAACTTACAAGAGAATTAAAAATAAAGGAACTAAAGTGCATGAGAAGCATTAATTTTCCATAACAATGTTTAAGCTTACTTTTCTATTTAAGGAGCAAAATCTCTCAGCTATTATGCTTTCTTGGTTTTCCTTGAAACACAATTAAATTTTATATGATAGGAGCATTTATAAGTACAGAATTGTCAAGTTTGTAACTTCATTAGACCTTCCTTTCTCTTACCTCTCACGCCATCATCTTGCATTTCTCCTAAAGCTCATAGAAGCAATTCAGTGTTGACATTCAACTACACCACAGGAGTCTTGAAACAAAATTTCCATTGTACTGTTGTGTTTCTTTACTTTTTTGACCACTGCCTACACACTCAGATCTCTAGTGATTTGTGGGGTACTTTCAGCTTGCTGACAAACTTACACAGGTGAAAAGGCTTTCACTGGGTTTCACAGGAATCAAGCTTTTTTCGTTACTTGAGGAAGCAATGCAGGAACAGCCAGGCCTCAGAGAAAAGCCCTGGGAGCTGCTGACAGCCAGTGCTCTTCCCAAGACCAGGGTTGGGGGACTCATTCCTCTAGATCCCATAACAGACAGCTGCCACATGCATGTTTTTTGCTCTTAACTATAGGAAATGCTTCAGCTTTACTGGTGCAGAGACCTGCCTTCATTTTACCACTGTCTTGTAGGATATTGTGGCAGAAAATGTGGTCATTAGTATATAAATTCAACACGGAGAGTCAGAACTCTTTTATGGTCTGCTTCTTTTGGACACCAGACTGTAGAGCCTGAGTGATCACTTCCCAGCAGCTAGAAAGAAAGGGGCACTCAGTGAAATTACCAGGCAGCAGATCTGCAATGATGGTGGCATTTCCTTTCACACTGGGTATCATTCACATGTAGAACTGCCGTGGTGTTTATGGCTAAATGTACAAATGAGTTCCAAAAGTAATTAGGCAAAATAAAAGGAAAACAGGCATGGAACAGTGATCAGGATGTCACCTACCTTTCAGGAAGTTCATGAACTGCAGATTCCCTGTGTTTCTGTGGTTGACTGAACAGGACACCTCTGTATGCTATGTTTGTCTGACAGCTTGTTTTATTCTGAAAATAACATTCATAACCAAAATTTAATTAAAACTTAGCTACTGCTGTGACCAAAGTATTAACTTTGCTTCAAGGTGATCTGGGAGCATGGTTCAGAAAGTAGTTCAGCAGCTTTCTGAGGGTGTGTGGAATCGGAGTGAGACTTTATGACAAATGTACTAAGATTGTAAATTTTCTAACCACAAAACTGATGTAAAGACAGGAGTGCTGCCTGCAGCCTGTAAGTTTAAATCTTGGATGACCATTTCTTGTACCACAGCTTTAATTAGATTAATTCTTAAGAACTTGACATTCTTTGTGTTCTAAAAATATTTTGGAATCATGCATATTATATAGAGGCATTTACTTTTTCTGAGTTATCATGGCTTTAGCTATTGAAAGGACAAGGTGCAATGGTTTTAAACTAAAAGAGGGACATGAGGAAGAAATTTTTTACTGTGAGGGTGGTGAGACACTGAAGAGGCTGCCCAAAGAAGCTGTGGCTGCCCCGTCCCTGGAAGTGTTCAAGGTCAGGTTGGATGGGGCTTTGAACAACCTGGTCTAGTGGAAGATGTCCTTTTCCATGGCAGGTGGGTGGAACAAGATGATCTTTAAGGTCTGTTCTAACCCAAATCATTCTGTGATTCAATTACTAGGGAAAATAAGTGGGAAAACAGCATATAGACCTAAATGTTTTTCTTGGCTTGTTTTAAGGGTGAAATATGATACAGGATTTGCATAGAAGTGGTTTATATCTCTTGTTTTCAACTGGAAGTCATCTTACCAATGCTTGGAGATCAGAAGGAAAGGTATCAAAGGAAAGCAAACTTTTAAAGTAATTTAATTTCTGGGAGGATGGAGGTGAGACTAGGAGAAGGGAATAATTAAAAAATAAAATTGAAATAAAGTTTTAAAGTACACAGCCCCTGGAGCAAAGCTCAAGGGAGCTGTGATGAGCCAAATGAACAAGATTCTGTAGGCTTCACAAGTCTAGTAAAGCTCACATTTGATAGGACTTGTGTATGGAAAATGGAGAGTTACTTTGTACAGCAAATATGTATGTAGTCTGTTGTGTTTACAGTCTCTCATCAAAGTAAATAGTGTATTGTTCTAACGAAGTCTGTCTTGTGACTGTTTATCACTCTTCTTTTCCTGGAAAGAAGAAAATTGCCAGTGCAGGATAAAGTGAGGCCTGCTGTGGTGATAACATTTTGCAGCTCATGCCCTGACACTGTCCATTTTATTTGGGTGTAGTAGTGGGATCCCACCCTGTCTTTTTCTGTGAAAACACAAAAAGGAAAGAGTCCTGATACTCATGCTCCTTTGTTCAAACCCACTCAGATAAAACAGTTCAAAGAAAAATGTTTAGATGATGAAAGGCTCTGCCTGGAAGTCTAAAACTTCTCAAAACTGTTGAGGAGTAAAGATAATGGGTTAGTAAACTTAAAAATGTTCAGAAATTAGGTAATGTGTCAGAATATTATCATTGTGGTGGTTTTCATTACCATATCTCTATTTTTGTCCTGATCTAATGTAATAATTAAGGGCTTGTGTAGGCAATTCATAGAGAAGGCAGACCCAGGATTAATGTTGCTGCTCCTCTTCATGTTTCCTGGCTCCTGCTGATGGCAAATTTTAAAGAGAGACTGAAAGCCTGAAAGACAAATTTTGGGTTCTTTGTTTTGTCCCTCTGAAAGGAAGACAAGATTAATGAAGAGTCATTTTCTTCCTTTATCTTGAATTCTATGGCAGGAAATTAAAGATTTTTTAAAGGCTTTCCAGTATTCTGGAACTTCTGCTGTTGGAAAAAAAAACAGTGTTCTTCATTAGAATTTCTATTAGAATCTGTGTGGTTTTTTCTCTTTTAATTACTGTTATGAAACCTTATTTTTAGCATTTATCTTATTTGGCAATTGTATTAGAGGATATTCTTGGACGTTTGCAGTACTTTTCAAACATCAAACGCGAAGGAGAGAGCGCAGTTTTGCTAAATTTTTAAAATTCACTTAGGGTGACTTTCTAAAGAGGATTCGGTCCCCAGAATCACTTTCCGTATCATGCTGACTCTCACAGATGTAGAGAAGTCAAGTTAAAAGAAAGATATGAAAAGTCAAGTGATTTTGCCAGCATCACACCAGCATTTTGTGACAAAGGAAGGAATGGGGCACAAATGTTTGGGATGTATTTGATCTGGATTTGACTGTTGATCTTTCTTTCTGTGAATGTTTAATTACTGTGGTACGAGAATGTATATTGATTATTATGGCCTGAAAGGTTAATGTAAGAAATTATTATTTTAAAAAGTAAACCAGTTTTCAACCTTAAAAATTAGTTAAACATTCAAAGAAAAAACTAGGCTCAGAAAATAGTGTGACAGTATGTGCACTTCTCAGCTGCTTCTTGCTTGTTTGTAGACTTGTTCCTTCTTCTGTGAGAATAAGGTAGGTAAGCCTGAGGGTCATCACAAGTCACTTTTAGGAGCACTGTAATCTGTTTTTATGGGCTGAATTAAAGAACAAAACCATTAAAAATCAAAGTAATAAGCACCCAAATGCCTGCTGATGATAAGGGTTGAGGGCATATGGATTTGCTAGTGGAATAGCTGTGAAGCAAATACATTAAAGTGGTGTGACTACAGACTTTAACCTTAACACTTCTGTAGCTTTTAACTTGTGTACCTTGTTTTTCTCATCATCTGTTCTGCTTCTTCTTGCACAGGAACACAGGCTCTCGATTTGCAGCAAATTGTGCTATGCAATAGGAGGTGCCCCAAATCAAGTGGCAGGGAGTGCTGCTGCTTTCTTCCTGCAAATCTACCTGCTGGATATAGCCCATGTAAGTAGCACAGGAAACATTTACAGACTGTAGACTTAACTCTGTTGTTGTCAACCATGTCCCTGAAATGATAAAAGGGGAATTAGCTAATAAATATTCCAGACTGTCTTGTTATTCTTACCTCTTGCTGTTCAGCATCCTGGAAACTGCATAAACTTGTCCACAATTTTTTTTTTCCCACTAATTTCCTTTCTGTCTTGAAGTGGCCATTGTTTGCTTTTAGGTTGGGATCATTATTAGAATTTTAGGTGCTGTAGTGTTCTCACACTTGTGGACACAAGAAAAAGCAGTTCTCAGTGTCAATAGCCAGATAACGTAAAATGTGGGACATCTGAAACATTAACAGCACCATGTTGGGGTTGTGAAGTTCTATTAATTTGGTTCAGTTAAAAATCACTGCAGCTGCATCCAATAGTCAGCATAATTTCACACAAATGTTATTTGGTTTGTCTAAGGTAATTTTGTTACAAAGAAAGCTGAGTTATCCTTCCTGAACCTTCTTTGCTTGCAGTCTGTGGCTTTATGGTGCAGAAGCAGACCTGATGAAACAAAGTAGGAATCATCCCATTCATCTGACTTTCAGCTGCTCCAGCTTTCTAGATTTCAGGACAGCAGAGAAACAAAGAAAATCAATCCATAAGCAATTTTTACTGGTTTGGATTGTCTTGTATGCCTGCATGGTAACTAGGTGGGATAGATAATGCATTAGGATAGAAAAAAGGATTTTAGGGAGTTGAGGCCAAATTGCAGGGACAGTGGGAAGAGCTGTTGCTGAAACTACATGAGTGGCATTCAGCACTGATGACTGTTTCTCTTTGCTGGAAAGAGCAGGAACTTCTGCATCAGATGTCATTGCCCATTTGCTGTTCCAGATGTAGAAAATGTGGGATATTATGACTGGACATGTCCAAAAGTTTGGGTTTATGGTTTTCCTATAAAAGTCTGGTATTAGAAGCTGAGGTCTGACTTACTTGATAAAATTTGCAACACAATAAGATGTGCATGTAAAACTGAGATCATCTTGGGTGTCCTGTTGAGATCAAAGTCACAAGACCTAGAAAAGGGGCCAGTTTTGGACAGCAGTGTCTAAGATGTCAAGTGAATGGTGTGAAATCTGAGGAGCTGGAGGTGGAACAGGGAGCTTGGAGATGCAGGAGGGAGGTGGGTGCACTCTGACTACACTTGTTTCCCTCTTACATCAAGGATGGCAATACAAGCCATTGGAGATGAGAAAGCATGAACAGAATGAGAAAGACACTAACACTGTTTTTCCCAGGATGCTTATAAATATGGCAATTTCCCCACTCTCTGATTATCACAGAAATTGAAGATTCTTGAAGCAAAGGACTATTTCTTTATGTGTTTGTGTACAGTGTCCAGAAAGATGAGGCCTCGTCCTTGCGTCTTTGGACACTACCTAAATAAATGATACAATAATAATTATATTATTAAAAAGCTTCTACTGAAACCAAATGATTTTGCTTAATGTTTGTAATGATACACTTACTCCTTCATTAAGGGGCTCAATTATTTGTTCCCTGATGGTTTAGTTTGTTCTCTGAAGTAATCCTGCAGGGATAGGATTTATTTCAAGGCCTGATAAACAGCTCTGAAATCTTGTGGGTTTTTTCCACCCGTTTTCAGGGGAGAGCATGTAATTTTGCAGTCACTACGTGGATTTAATTCTTACCCACTTAAAAGGCAGAACTATTTTAGCTCCTTTATAACACTGAGAAGTTTCTGGCACTGGTGCTGACAGACACTGTCTAGATTTAGGGGCTAAGAAAATGCAGCCAAGGGATGTATAAGCCCATACCAATGATGAAGACAAGGTGAATATACACACTCCACTCATAACATGAGAGGTTCTGCTTTTTGCTCAAAGCTTTCTTCCACCTCTGCTTATGTAATATCCACTTCCTTTCTGTGTGTTCAAGTTATCTGAACACAATACCAACGTGAAAGCCATCTAATTTGTAGGTTTGTGTTCTCTCATAACTGCAGTATTTCAGACCCTCTGTCCTTCTGACTGCTATTTTGTTCATGTTTTGGCTGACCTTGAGAAGCTCAGTGACTCAGAATTCTCTTGAGAAGCAGCAGGGACTTTTGAGCAGCTCTGGTGCAGCCCCCACAGCAAGGCTGTCTAAGGGTTGGTGGGTTACTTGTCACCTTGGCTGTGGGAGGGCACAATTCAGCAAAGATGGGTGAGGTGAACATCAGCAAACTACTGTGGGATACAGCCCATGCCAGCCTTGTCCTACCATTCAGCAACTGAATGCTTGCAGAGCCACTGTCGCTACTTTCCCAATACTTCCCGGTTCATAAGCTTTCTCAGGTGGGGTATGTGTCTTGGAGCTGGTGGTGACAGGAAGATTGGCTGCCAATGCAATTTCACCTAATTTCACCTAAAATGTAACAGGTGTGATTACAGAAGTGGATAGCACCTGCCTTTTACAAAGGTCATTCAGGACATTCAGAGATCCCTGCTTCCTTCTTTCGCCTCTGGGGGAAGACCGACATCAAAATCAGTGGGTAGGGGACTGCTCCAGCTGGAAGCCAGGTGATGCTGCCTAGGAGACAATATAGTGGGCAGAAAATAGAGAGATACCTGCTCAAGCTGGGTCAGCTTGCTCAGCTGCATTTTCCAGGTTTCCCACTGTACTGGAGCAATAATGGCATGAAGAAACACAGAGATGAAGGGGTTTTGTCTGCTGCTGCTGTTTAAGCCACAGAGGCTGTTTCAGCAGTCTCTCAATAATTGCTCTGAGGAACATTCATATTTATGTGGCTTTTAATGACTTTTTTCAGCACTGTAGTTACAATGGCATGAACTGAGCACTTGGAGGAGAACTCACTTTTTTGACCATTGTGTGATGGGAATTCCTAAGCTCTGTACAGATATATGTGAAAAAACAACTACATTGCCTGGGATAAACTGTATTTCTATATGGGCATGAAAATATGGTCCTCCTGGGTTAACTTCTTGTTAAAGGATTTTTCCACTTGGGCATTTTATTTTTACGTAATCCACAAACATTTTTCAAGTGAGATTTGATGGACATGTGCTGGCAACTTTGATTTGAACAGATGTGCCTTATGCAGTTCAGTTGTCACAGTTCAGTGCTGAGTGGATAAAGTCTGCTGTGCTACAAACTCTTCCTCAGCCACATACCACCAGTTGGCAGCCTTGTTGCTAATCTCAGAAGATGAAAAAACACGAGTGCATGTAAACAGCTCCCTCTACTATTTTCTAGATCAGGTCAAGATAAAGATATGAGTAGATGGAGCAAAGTAAGAGGGTAATTACAGAGGGACTCTGTCAGATTGTATGACTAAACCCAGGACTTTGCTATTTGACTATCTAATTCATTTTCCTCATTCTAAACACATTCAGGATTTTCCCTTCCTTGCATTTCCCCCCTCTAATTCATTGATTCATGGTGCCTGTCTCAGTGTCTCATTTGTTTGCTATGGGTAACCAATAGGAATTTCTATGACAGCAGCAGACATGTTTTGTACAGGAACTATCATTATTCTTTGAAACACTGAGGTGTTTTTTTTCTGGAAAGTTGCTTTATGATGTCTCATTGTATTGTGAAACAATGGCTCTTGTTTACTGTATTCTGTCTGTACTTTCAGATTACTCCATTTCATGCTTCTCTGGTGCTGTTCGTTGGCAAAGCCTCAGGTGCATTTACTGATCCTGTTGCTGGCTTTTTTATTAGCAAAAGTAGATGGACAAGAATTGGCCGGCTCATGCCTTGGTAAGCATAAATGTGTACATATATTTACATATATATATATTATTATTGAGTGTTGTGATCATACAGCTACCTCCTTGAACTAGTCTTAGTGATTGTATTCATTTTACATATATAAAATCAAAAAGAAAAGTTGTCATGTCATCTATATGCCTTTAACTTTTTCACCTGTGAAAATACGGAAGAGGCTTTTACCGCTGGAGATACAAACAAATAAAGCCAGAAGACTGTGTTGGTAACAAAACAGGAACCCCAGATCTAAAACGTTTTTGAATCTGTGGTTGAATATTCGCCTCATTCTTCCACAAAGTTGGAACTTATCTCTACTTGTGTCCTAGAATGCCTTCACATCTCGCATCAGCCTTCCAAGAGCTCCATTAGCTTTAACTCCCTAAGCCTTTCAGTTCAGGAAAGGATGTGTGTGCATGACTGTGGGACAGGTGTGACACCATAGCACTGCCCTTAGCTCTGTTAGGTTCTTCCTTACAGCACTCATTCTGCTCCTGCTTTCTCTTGCATCCAGTAATCAAAATAGTTAATTAAAAAAATCACCGTGACTTTTATAATGAATGAGCACTTCTAAAGGGAGAGTGTGATGTTTCACTGTAACATCTTACACTTGTGTCCACTCTAGTTAGTGCACTCCTACATGTGCTGTTCATATGCTCTAAAGAGAGGTTAGAAGAATGAATTTTACATGTATAGGAAGGAGATTGACAGGTGTGAAGCAAGAAAATCGGGAAAGATTTGTCCATGCTAGAGGAACTCAGACTCATCTGGGCCACAGAGCATGTATTTGTTAATGTTTTAGTACTTTGGAAGTCAAAGAGAGACTGAGTAGTTTGTGAAATTTGGAGTCTTTCATCACTCTTTCTCTCATGCATCATAAGGGTATATTGTAAAATATTTTGAATCAATGAACTTTGAATTAGTATAACCCCCAAACTTGAATCACAACAAAAATCCTGAGCAAGGAAGTTTTAATTTCAGGGAAAATAAGCCCAGTTTTTTTAGCTGGTGATTCTCTCACTCTCACGTGCTTTTAGAGCTACAGGAACTTGTCCGTGGGTAGCTTATATCTGACAAAATATAGAAGGCAAGTACATGTTGGAAAAAGGCTGAGATCAGCTGCTCTTGGCCCCAGTAGGAGCAGGGACTTGAGGTCAACGTTGAGATTTTTTCCAGGAGCCCCATGAGAAAAGAGGAGCATGCTGCTCTTTCTCTTTTCAGGATTTAGTTTCTGGCCAGATAAATGGTGTGGTTTTTAATAACCTCTGAATTAACTAAGCAACAAAGTTATTAAAAAATAAAATAATAAAATTTTTATACAAATGCTATTAGACATATTCTGATACTTTTTTTTTCAAATTCTCTGCAAATACAGCAAATACATGTGTTTATTGTTAGTGTTAAATTGATGTTAGAATGACTCCCGTTCTAGCACAAGCATGAACTTATCAGCCCTTCACACTGTAAACCAACTACAGCACATCTTGCACTTATTACATGAAAAGTGCTTATCTAACCCCGCCTTTCATCAAACAGCTGCTTTCTTTGCAGGAGGATTTTGTCTGGTTTTTTGGTAATGGTAATATTTTCATAAGAATTTTGGTCCTACACTTTGGAAGTGAGACCATTTTTATACAAAGCAAAAAAATGGGACTTCCACTAACTTAAAAATACTGTAGTATTTTGAAATTATTCTGACTTTTTAATACTCTAGAGTGAAGCAGTGGAATTGTTTCAGTCAGAAAAGCTTGCCAACAAAGCAAGAACATCAGTAAAGAAAGAGAACATTTAACTATCTCTTAATACTGTACTCAATATAGTATGAAGTTATCAATTGCTATTGATCTCTTATTTAATGTGTTTAAAAGGCAGAAGCAGACATTGACTTGAAATACAGGTCAAGTATTTTGGCAAACAGATAATAGTAGACATTCAGATATTCAGCAACTTCAACAAGGCTCTGAAAACTCACTGACATTAAAGAGGAAAGGAAAACGTGGAAAGAGAAAGAAAGGGGGGAATAATACTAAGAGGGTTGTTGCTGAAGAGTTGCATGAAAAAGGGACTTTGAAAATATTTAGTGTGGTGACTCTGCCTGGACACCCTCTGGAAGAGCTCAGTCAGAGAGAGAGGAAGGTGGTTTTCCTGAGCTGTGTTAGGATTTTACCCTTGTTTATATTTTCATTGCTGACCTGCTGTGGGTGACCTGTGGCCTGGGGACTGAAAATACCAGAACCTGGCACTTTCCTGGTAAATGCTCAGCTCCATCCCAAAGAGCAGTGTGGGAAAGCCATTGTTTTACTAAACTATTTACCCACATTACTCTTTTGTATTCCAGGTTTTCAGTTCACGGTTGCAAAATAATCAGCTGACCCCCAATGTCAGTAGTGCTGTTGTGAAGGGATTAATCTGTTTTCCCTTTTACATGTTTGGAAATTTTTTGTTAGGATCTTGGTCATCCAAATATGTTGTTTAATGCCTGATTTACAAGAATACAGGAGAGCCCTGATTGCAGCTCTGACTTCTAGGAAATAATAGCATCTGACCACTTCTTCTGTGTCATGGAGTTTGACAAGTGTTATTTGCCTGATATAAGTTTTAGACTAATGTAATTTTTTGTGGTTCTTTTTTTTAAAGCCACCTTCCTCAACAGAAGATGATACTGTTGTGTTTGAAGTGTTTAGGAGTTTTGTTGTTGAGTTAAATGGAGCAAATTGTCATATATCCAAGTAGATATAGAAGTAGGAACTTTCACAGTGGGCTGTCCATGAAGTAGCAGTGAAGAGGCTCAGTTGAGAGGAAAACTGAGGGTACTAAAATTGGGAGAGGGAATCTTAGTAATAAGTAGGATCATATAAAAATTGCTGGAGCATGCAAAGACATGATGACAGAACTCAGTCTTCTGTGGTTCTTTCTAATAAATGTGTGATCTGAGACATGTACCAAGGAATGGCAATATAGGTGTTGTGTTACAGTGCGTGTGCAAGGAAATTGTGTCTGTTCTGAGTGGGATTTAAGTTTAGCTCTTTTCTTTCAGATTTCCTGGTTTTTTTGTCATTTTATTATTATTATTTTACTATGGAAGTACTTGTACACTTTTTATATTAATCTGTGTATTTAATGCACACTAACTTTTAATACTTAAAAGCATGGCATTATCCTGGTTAGAAAAATAACTTATATTGATTATTAGCAGGAAAATTTAATGTGCTTTGCTATCATTATGTTAAGATTATTGATATGTGTTAATCTTCTTTGCAGGATGCTGGCATGTACACCCTTCACAGTAGTGTCTTATTTTTTCATGTGGTACCTGCCTCCTTTTGTGTCAGGAAGAGCTGCATGGTACGTGACTTTCAACTGCCTTTTCCAAGCTTTGACCACAGTAAGTAGATTACAGGTCCTGATATTCTCAGCAGTAACTTGCTTGTTGTCTGTCTGTATTAATTCATATTTAGTTAACTTGACTTCACATTTTGCTTCAACTTCCAATGTGTTTAAGGGATAGGCAAATGTTCATTTATCAAACTCTGCAAGTAGATGGTTTCTGCCAGTGCTTTCACTGGCAAATGACCTGCTAATTCAGACAAATTACCTCCTGTCACTTCCACTGGCAGTGCCCTAGGTACTCAACTATCTATAAATTTTATAGATCCACAGAGACATTTGGATTCCTAATTCCAGTTAGACATCCAACTGCTCATAGCTTCTATTTTCAGGAGCAGAATAGGAGACTAAGCAGGTTTGTGGCTCAAGTTCTGGGTGTTTTGACTCAAGCTAGGAGGCAATGAAAAGTCAGGGTACCTGATAGTACTGATAGTAGGCATCATGATTTTTATGCCTGGTTGGAAGAGTTTGGGCGTGTGATTTTTTTACAACACCCCAAAACTTGCAATATTTATGCAGAAGCCCTCATTTCAGTGGATCACAAAGAACTTCTCTGACATGTTCCATACTGTGCATGTAGGGGTTGCATCCTATCACCCTGTTTTGCCTTGTAGCCAATACCAAGATGAACAAGGTCCCTTTCATGCAAAGCATCATCACACAGCAGATTAGGACTGGAAGTGAGACAAATCTGTTGGACCTGCGAATTCTGTATTCCTGTGTTAAGCCTGAATATTTCCCTTGCTCCTTTGTTTTCTCTGTAGAAAGATGGTTTATTTCAGTATGGTTTTAAATAACTTCCTATCTCTATTGAAGGAGAAATAAGTTTTCTGTGGCAGAGCTTTGAAAATGTACACGTTTGCCATGTTTGATGGAGGTGAACAGGAATGCATTTTGTACAAACAGAGTAGGATGCAGATTGCAAGACCTAGTTTGGCTACAGATCTCTGTGGTGGTGGGAACACCACAGAGAACTTGATTGTTCAAGCAGGTTCATGTCCCACTTCCACTTCACAACAGTCTGAGAGTCAGGCCTGTAATGTCATTCCAGGATTGTAGAAGTGATTTTATTTTAGTTCGGTGTTATGAGGACAGGATCCCACCCACATCATGACCGATGAAAAGGTCAAGCCTTTGATGTTCAGTAGTTTTTTTCAGTGAAGTACTACTGTAGATAAAGCCTCTCTTGCAGTAAAAGTGTGGCTCATTTACCCAGCATCACAATAAATATTGCCAGTGCATTTTTTCCACCAGGATTTAACAGAATACTGGATACAATGCTGTAAAAATAATAAGGCAACACTCTATCTACCTTTTTGTCAGTGCACAGACATAGCAATTGAGTGTTTTTATCCTTAAATTAAGGAGTATGTGGCAAAATGGTGCTAAAGACCAAGTAGTTTTCACAAGTATCTCCTGGAATTACATGGTTAGACAAGTAGTTGAAATATTTTGGTGATTTATATAGTCTTCTGGCTTGAATAAAGCAGAAAATTACGTATTTCTTCTTCATGGCTTTACTTCTAGTTGGTTAGCTCAAGCTAGGAACATGATAGTCTCCTAGTGCAAAAGAAATAGATGTTCTATAGCCTATCTGTGAAGGATATTTTCTCAAGGAAACTGAAGGACCACAAGATTAAGGTAAAGCCTCTTGGTATGTTATTATTTATTATTTGTATTATGAAAGATACTGTTTTCCTTTTATATGCTTTACAAACCAGAAAGAAAAGACAGGTCTTTGTGCTAAAAAATTGGTTGAGGGTTCTAAACGTTCTAAGTGAACATTCTAGATGAATTCCAAGGTCACATTTAACCATTTTCCTGGATATCAAAGGAATACAGCATTTTTTCCCTGACATTTCCTAAGTGATGTTCTTTCTTTGCATAGTTATTCCAAGTACCATATTCTGCCCTCACCATGTTTCTCAGCACAGACCAGAAGGACAGAGATTCTGCAACAGCGTATCGTGAGTGTGATCTGGGCTTTCTCATGGGGATTAGGGCTTTTTTTGGTAATCATTCTTTATCTATAAGAAGTTCCTAATGATTTGTGTCCCTAAACTGGACTTTTATAAGAATTTTTTAATATTTAACAAAAATGATTTTGTCTTGTAAGGAATTCTCTTTTTCTAGATAAACAGGAGATGTTAATGTTCCATTGTCTCAAATTATCTGGCTAGCTATAAACTCTTTTTGGTTTATTGCTAGCCAGATGAAACAATAAAAATCACTCTTACCCAAGTCAGGGTAAGGAAGAATGATTTCATTTAAAGGTGATTTGTAGGGGAAAATCCCAAACCCATTCAATTAAAGAAAGTATGAAAGTAATTTTAAGGTGTTTGTTGTTTTGATTTTGTTTTGTTCAGGTTTGTTGCTTTGTTCTGTTCCTTTTTTTTTGTTAATGTTTTCCTAAGTCTATGTGTTTCATGTTATAAATTCGAATTCCAAACTCGCTTTCTCTGAAAAAAAATTGAAAACACATAGAACCAAGATTGTTAACCTCACCAGAAAGGAGATCGATTCTCTGTGCATGTTCACACAAACTGAAATATCTCTTTTCATTTAATCTGTGTGTATTTAATTAATTCTAAGTATATCGGGTAGTTTAAGGACAGATCTTGCTGTGACAGAACTAACACTGACAGGTTAGTTAAAAGAATGAGGGCTTCCAGACCATATTTCTGGCTTTTCAACAATCAAAACTAGATGAAATTTTTGCTTTGAAACAAATTGATCAGACCAAAAAAGTGCAATGAAAACATTTTCAGGATTTCCTGTATGGATCATAAATTGAATGTAAGATCAGTTTCTTCCCCTCCTACTCTCTTGAGCTCTGTTCTCATGCCTTCTTTACTGTGTAACTGCATTGAGCGAGGTAAAGAGAAAGGAGTCAAACATCACATGGAAGACTTTTCTATGTCTTAACTTGCCTTTCAGTGTTGCTTTAGAATAACTTGTAATTTTTTTGTTGCATCTGTTTTCTCTTCCTGGCAAGAGCCCTTTTCCATTAGGCCTTCTAACCCTCAACATACTTGATTGAGTATGTTGAAACCCACAGAGGCACAATGAAATGGCCAGAACTGCTAAAAAAATTCTAGATACAATATCCCCTGAGCAACCCAATCCCTTTTCCAGCCACATGGAACAGTTGTAATTTGCATTATCATCAACTATCTCAAGAGAAAGTCTGGGCTAGCAGTCACAGGACAGGACTAAACAGCAGGAGATTCCAGTTGTGTTATATTCTTTGGCATTGACTGTATTCTGAGTCATCTGGCCTAAATTCTAACTAAATCCATGCACCTAGTGTTTTCTGTTGTCTGGTTTTATGTCTTCAGAGGCTGTGATCCAAATAAATGGGCTTTCTGATCTGCTAGTCCCATGCAAGGCTTCATAGGCATGTGAAATTTGTGCTCATAAAAGCTGTTGAACTCCATGGCTGAGAGGTGTCACACATTTTATAGTGTCATTTTATTGTTCAGAAAGAGTTTCACTTTTGAGTGTACAGCTGTTCTCCTAAGCCAAATTAAGGTGTTGGAATGAACCATAGTTTTGACTTTTTCAGATGTTGATATTTTTGTATATTTTGAAATTATATTTGTTTGGAACCAAGATTTCTTGTAATGGTTATGATTATGTGAGAATATTTTTTTTCTCCCTTTTTTTTTTTTTTTTTGTAAGTGTTTTACTTAAATACTTTTGGCTCTCTTTGGGTTTCATAAAGAATTCTTTTTGTTGATACACTGTCTTGAATGCAGCCAGTTGTTCAGGCATTTCTTCAACTGTTAAAGAAAAACAGCTGTGTAATATGAATTGTGCTCTTAAAAAAAAGATAGAGATCAGAGGATCCATTACCCTCTACTGGAGACAAGCAGAACTGCTTATTATAAATTTTGTTCTGCTGTTATTATGAATGCAAGGTAGAAATACTGGATTCCAAAGTTGCTTTAACATAAATCTTACTTCAATCTGGGCAAAATATAACCTACTTCAAGGTACAATCTGCTTTCTGAAAGATCAGCTTTCTTGGCTAATGTGGAAGCTAATACATCATAAATTCTGAGCACACAAGAACTTTGAAGTCTGTCTGTTTCCCAGCTCCTACTACTTCTTAGAAAGTAAGATTTCATAATGGCTGCATTTCTGATGCCTCTAATAATGCTTCTGAGTTTTATGCTATACAAGTGCTTGATGAAATGCAGATGTAGAGCCCTAGATGAAGGTTAAAAATGTGTAGGTGGTGTTGTGAGTGAAAGGTGTGATTTGAGTGCTTTGCCTTTGCATTGAGTAGCCAATAGTTTGGACGTTCTGCAAAGCCCAACTGAGACTAGTTTGTGTTCAAACCCTGAGGTTAAACTTGAGGCTGAGGTTAAACTTTCACCATCTGCCAGGATTTTAGTGTGTATGGACTGACTTGTAAAGTTACTAGTAAGATTAGATGTGAAGTTTGGGGAAGAAGGTTTTTATTTTTACTTCCCATTGGTTTAAATTAATGTTATGTGGCACCTCGAGTTTTCCATTCAGAAGTATTCTCTGTTTGGGAGTGTAGTAGCAATGGTTTAAATGATCCAAGCCTCGTAGAAAGCCTCTCTTTCCTTTTCCTTACTGGATCTTCCATAGCTACATACAGCCTTCATTACTGCACTGTCTGATCTCCTTGCAGTCTCTGTGCATTGCCCTTCCGTTAGATGGTGAAGTGTTTTTATTTCTTTACAGGGACACACAAAAAGGAGTGTCTGAGGTCACCTAGGAAGGCTATTATAGAGCAGGGAACTTGAATAAACCTGAGCCTAGGAGCTTTTGAAATGCCTGTCATTTCCCAGAGAGGGTATGATAATCACAAGGACACAACCTGCTCTGGAAGCAGCCCTTCAAATTCCCCTTCTGAGAAAGGAACATGGGACCCTGGGAGCCACTGAGAGAGAAAAAATAGAAAGAAGCCTGAAATTTAGGTCAATGAGAAGAGCATTCCCTCATAAACAGAGAGACTTGGTCCCTGTTCCTAATGTGTTCATGCGTTCAACCCTATACATCTTTATGCAAAATGCATAAATAGGGTTTAGAGTTAGTCTCTGGAGCTAGGACAGGAATTCAGTTTATCTCCCTGCCACAGTGATGCTGGATATGGCTACACTGCATGGAAACAGGCATGGTAGGCTTGAAATCCCTCAGGCTGAGGATGGTCTAGGACCCAAATTACTCACCACTCTCTCGTAACAGAGCTGCCACAACCAGTCACCTGGTTGATCAATGCAATGAATGGGATGCCCATGGTTAAATCTTTGCTTTCCCAAGTGGAGGCCTGGGTTGTTTTTTTAGATGATCCCTTGTTCTGATGAGTCTTAGTGATCTGAATCATTCTCTGAGATTGAGGCAACTAGTTCTGCCTAACTATGGCCTTAGGCACTTAAGAACATAAGTATCTGCTGTTTCCAAGAGCTTTGCAGCTATATTATTTCCATAAACCTGAGGTAAATATCATTTTATTTTACAGATGGAGGACCTAGAGGTCTGATCAGATAAGTGTTTCTCAAGTTACTGTCAAGCTTGAGATGAACAGTCCGATGTTACGGCTCTTAGTCCTGCTTTGGAAAAAATGGTGTTTAACATTTAAACTGTACTTTCACTCTGGTCCTTGAGATGAAAGGTTTCTGTATTATCTTCTTGTGGCTCTTAATCTCAGCATTCAGCATCTCTCATGCAGCTTGTATGCAAAAGGCTCCTTCATGGAGGCTTCTAAAAGCTGATCAGAAAATAGATGACAAAACTCTTTCCTTGAAACTGTTCTATTAATAACCTTCTAATTCTGCTGTTCTTGGTATTGCTCTTTGTGCTTGTTCCCTGTAAAAGAAAATGTTTTGGTGAGGTTTATCTTCAGTGAGACAAACAGGCAAGACTATCATCCTCAGTGCACATGTGTGCTTCCTTCTTTAGGAATGACCATGGAAGTGCTTGGGACCTTGATTGGAGCAGCACTTCAGGGGCAGATTGTGGCCAGTGCTCATGTCTCTCATCACTGCACTGTGAATCCCCCAGTAAACACAACTGACTCCTGGCATGACACTACCAGCATTCCAGACCCCTCAGATATCCTGTCTCATCAAGTAAGTCTATGGGAACATACTAAAATCTCTTAGGGAGAAGGGTGGGGATCTTTCTCTAACACCATATTATATCATCCAGCTGGATGAGCATGGACATGACAGCCTTGAAATCAGTAATGCTAGAGCTGAGACAATGACCTTGTTGCAAACAAGGTTTCATGACTGTTGTCTTTGCAATCCCTCCTCAGTGTGACAGCAGAATTACTCTGAGGAGCTTTGCCGAAGATGCCAAACTGTAAAGTAGCTATAGGAGGGATAAAAGACATGAATCTGTTAGGGCAGACCCAGAGGAGGGGCACAAAAATGGTTAGAGGTTTGGAACACCTCTCCTGCAAAGATAGGCTGAGAGAGTTGGATTTCTTCAGCCTGGAGGAGAGAAGGCTCTGAGGAGACCCTATTGTGGCCTTTCTGTACCTAAAGGGGACTTTTTAGAAAGATAGAAAGAGTCTTTTTGCAAAGGTCTGTAGTGACAGGACAAGGGGAAATGGTTTTAAACTGAAAGAGGGTAGATTTAAATGGATATATGGATTTTTTTTCTGGTGAAGCACTGGCACAGGTTGCCCAGAGAAGTGGCTGTTCCACCCTTTGGAGTGTTCAAGGCCAAGTTGGATGGGGCTTGGAGCAACCTGGTTTGGTGGAAGGTGTCCCTGCCCATGAGAGGTGGTTGAAAATAGAGGTCTTGAAAGTCCCTTCCTACCCAAATAATTCTATGATTCTATGAAAAAATGGTGGCTAGAGCAAGCCATAACCAATAGTATGAAAGTACTCTGTAACTTAATTTATAGCTCTGATATTAAAAAAATGCAAAGCTTTATCCCAAATAAAGAATAGTCCTGCATTCCTTTATTTCACCATGTTATTTTCTGAAATGTAAATAACTTAACAAAAGCTATTTTCTTGAAGGTTGTCTATTCTTACATGGTTGCATCTATACTAAGTGACTTTATATTTGGAAGTAAATTCTTGTAATTGCATGTTTATTTACCAGCTGCTTCCTAGATTTATAATAGTTCCATTTTCAACATATAACTTGTAATTTAGAATTCAGTTTTCCTATCAAATAGTCACTTTGACATAAAATTCTATAACCAGCACTTATTTTATCTTTGATAACACAGTATAAATTATTACATAGCACTGAAGCAAAATATTTTCAAAGCTCTAACCCAAAGTCAGTGCAATCAGAGTTAGAAACAATAAATGTCATTTGATGATGTGGGAGGTATCCTTGGAGGGTTTGTTCCCCTGACTAATAGGAAGCAAAGATTTCTGAATTTGCTTGAGTATTTCACTAAGTAACTGGAAAACCATCATGCAAGCTACCGTATTCTCAAAACATTGGCAAGTAAGTATGATTTCTAAAATTCATTATTATCATTATGTATAACTGCAGAAGCTGTAGTAATTATGTTTATGTCAGTACTGAGGACTTTCCCACTCAGAATGAAGTTCCAGATTGCAGTCAGTGCAGCTAGAGCAACTGGATTTACTAAAAATTAGAATCACTCTACGGATGATGCATGTTTTTGATAGGTAAGTGTGTATGTCTGTAGCTAGTTTCGACATAAGAAAATTTTTAAAAAATCAGGTTGCCAACACAATATTCACTGCTTCTTTTTTTATGCAAAAAGTATACACTTACGTGCCCTGGATTTACCCTAAAGCAGGTGCAGTTTAGAAATGAACTGCAGAAGCGAACATTTTCAGAGACGTAACAGACAGACAGTTGGCTGTATACAGATGGGCATTTCTTCATTTGCAGATGACTCACCAGAAAGAGACCGAAATTTTCATAATGACTTGTCATTCTCCTGTCACAATTTCAAATGTCTTTTTCTCTTTCCAAGGCAAAAGTTTATATGATTGCAGCAGGGGTCATAGGAGGTGTGTATCTTCTTGGAATTGTTGTTCTTTTTCTTGGAGTAAAGGAAAAAGATGGTAAGATATATTTAAATATGCCTAGATTTAATAATCATTATTTCACATTCACCTATGGAAAATACTATTTTATGTATTCTGTTGCTCTTAGATCCTTATGCCTTAAGTTCAGACAGAGCAATCCCTTTTTGTAAGGGGCTTGGACTCACCATGAAGCACGGTCCGTATGTGAAACTTACAGCTTCATTTCTTCTCATCTCGACAGCAGTTCAGGTAACTTCAGACTCTCTGTGTGTTTGCCTCATTCCACTCCCAGCATGGGGGAGTCTGAGGCAGCTGAAATGCAAATAACCTTTGGCTGGTGGCAGGGGGTGGTGATCTAAGGGGTGGTGCCTTTCCCTACAAATCAGTAGGGAATCAGAGTCCTCTTTTGGTGCCTGGGGTCCTATGCAGCTGGAGATGGTTCTGTCAAAGGAGAAGCAAAGCCAAAGTCCTGACCATTTGAAGACCTTTTTTCTTTTCTTTTTTTTTTTTTTCCCATAAAAGGTGAAGAACTAGTCCTAGTGACACAGATTGGGTCATTATATGTTATCCATTCACAGTCTCCTGTGGTTTCAGTTGCTTAGAGAATATTTTTCTCTTCTCTCCTCTCTATTCCTCTCTAAAGTGTGCCCTGCTTTAAACCATTGCCCCTTTTCCTTTGCATAGGTGTCTGTTCTCAGATAGTGGCTGAACTGGTTCTTGTGGAGTCTTTTGTGATGGAAGACATTAGGTCAGAGTAAGAAGACATTCAGAGGCAGGAGGTCTTACCTGTCTCAGAGCCAGATAGAGCTTATTTTTAAATGAGGACCTGCAGTTGAGCGTGGCTCTTGTGAAAAGATGCAGTGTGTCCTCTCAGAGGGAAAAACTGTAGAGAAAGCTACTCAATAAGAAACCCTCATTCTCCATAGTGCAGCAGCTTTTTAAGCTTGATTTTTTTAGCGATGTTCAACTCAGTTGATATATTATTTTAATATGAACCTTCATATAGCAGTTAAAGTTGGCTTTATTTTGAAAAGCAAATAATTATCACATTTTGGTGAACAGACTCTGAGTCACCTGAGCCCTTTATCAAGTGAGTATCAGGACAGAAGGCAAGAGTACAGTAAGTGAGCTGTGCTGTGCTCACCAGCACTCCTGGTGAATTAGTAAGTTCCTTGGAAGGTTCCTTATGGTCCAGATCCTTCCAGCATCCATTCAGTTAGTAAGTATGCAGCACAGATCTCGTTTCTGGCAGCCAACTACTTGTTGAAAACACCCAGAGAGGAAAAGACCTTCTGTCAGTCCGTGTCTCTTTATTTCGCTATTTGTGCAGACTGAAGGAAGGTGTGAGGGGAGGCAGAAGCTGGAAGTTGTGTTGCTCCAGTTCAGCCAGCATGGGCAACCCTTGCTGCTGCTATTTGAGGGAGGGACACTGACTTTGTGGAATTCAGAGAGGGGATTACTGATGAGCAAAGGAACAGGCAGGAAAGATGTGTTCGTTGGCCATAATTCCAGAGTGTGATATCCTACATCTAAAATTAAGGCAGCGTAAACAGGGACACAAGCTAGAGAAGACTTCTGTGGCAATGGAGAAGGGATACAACTTTTTGGATGTCCTAATTGGTGTACAGATGATTGGCCCCCTATAATCCACAAGCACACAAAGGAGCAAGAGTTGATTGTGCTGCTGTGGCATGAGTGTTAAATCCTCCTCTGTCACCCTACTTCTGCAGAATTGCTGGAGCTGCCCCTCAGTCATATCCTGGTGTTCAGAATCCTCCTGAAATCTTCAAAAGCATGGTGGCAGTGGCTTCACCTGTCATACAGCACAGTGCAGCTAGATCCTCCCATCCAATGAGTATTCAGACTTATGGAGATATCTGACCCAAAGCTACACTCTGTAGCTGAGGTTTCATACGAAACCTGCTGCTTTACCACAGGAAGTGTAATTGCAGCTGAAAGTTACTTGTTTTGGAGTCAGGGCTTCTGGAGAAAGATTTATGGCATTGCTATGGAAAAGAAAGAGCAGTTTCTTGCAGTAGCCTGCAACTGTGGCTGTGACAACACAAGGCAATTGCAACATAGGGAATAAAGCCTGGAGACAGAATCCTTTCATAGGACCATTCCTGTTTTGGTCATTTTTATGCTCTATTAGGTGCATGGTTTTCCCCTTGCTTGCTCCAGTATTATTGGCATGTTATTCCAGTGATAACAGATCAGTTATTGCTTCTTTAAATTGTTGCAAACAAGGGAAGAACGAGACTGCCAAATCCTACATTTAACAAATCCATCACCAACTATCTTTGACTAATATGAAGCGTGATGTCATTTTTGTCTTTTTAAATTTTTCTTTCGCTTTTTGTTGTCACTAAATGTATTCGATTCATCAGCTGGAGCAGAGCAACTTTGTCCTGTTCTGCACTCAAGCTTCTGGCCTTCGCAATCACTTCCAGTATTTGGTGGTGACCATCTTGGTGAGTTGCACTTCTCTCCCATATGTTAATTGGTTCTCACTGGGTTTTGGCACTAAATAATGGAAGACAAGAAGAGTTTTGTATCTCAACAGAGCTGTTAAGAAGCTACGCTATCTTTTCCATTGTCTGTTTGAAATAAAGCTGGTGTTCCCTGCTGTACTTATAAAAAAATTAATGCTTTGAAGCTTTTAATTCATTCCTTGTTGTTTCAACCTGTAAATCATTTTCTGCTCCCATAAAAGGCAAAAAGGTTCTACTAGAAAGGAGGTCTGGAATTTTACCTCCTCTTTTCCTCCCCTCCCAGTCTTATATGCTGAAAATTAAACAACTTTAATTTGCATATTCATATACATGAGTCTTCTGAGCTAAGCAGCTTGCAAGGATAAATATTTTAAATATCTAGAGATATGAAGGTTCTTCTCTAGAGCAATTGGCAGTTTGATAAAAAGATCCTTTTACAGAACCCTTTTCTTGCCATGCAGAGGCGGAATTGTGCTTGCTTAGGTGATACGTATGCTTTCCCACATTATAAAACGTATCTTCCAAAACCATTAAAACCAAAATGTTGGAGAGCAGAAGATATTGGATATCTTAAGGCTCTGCAACTGATGGTCTCCAAGAAGAGAGACAAGAGACAGTAGAGTTAAAATCAGTAAAGATGGAAATAATACTGTAACAATAAGATGTCATTTAAATTTAGGTCAGTTGGAAGACTGTCATTAGTGGCAACATGTTAGTGCATTGGTACTATGTTGTCTGTGATTGTTGCTGCCGTCAGGTGAGTATTTCAGTATATGAAATGGTAATGTTGACCTCAAGCAACTGTTTCTCTTACAAATTGTCCCTAAGAAGGGACACATGGTATGGAATAGGTACTCTAAGTATACCTTAAGATAAGTGTATCTCGCATTTCAGCTTTCTTCCTGTATCATGGAGTAGAGCTGAATGTACTCATCACTTCAGGTAATGTGGCAAAAGGCATTAGCACAAAGTAGGACTATTTGCAATATGTTTGAACTTTAATGGCTGTGTCATCCGTAGTTTTAACTGCTGTGGCTCACATTAGAAAAGGAAATTTTAAGACACTGCCTTCTGATATTTGACTGTGGAAAACCTTCTCATGGGGAGCTTAATAATGAGTGTTTAAAAAATCACGCAAAGGATGAGAAGAAACAGGAATCTGTGTGTTCGCCTTCCTTTCAGACTGTAATGTACTAGACAAAAAGATGCCCATGAGCTCTGCAGCTGAAGAAGACAGTGGCAGTAGGCAAAGTACAGATATGTTTTTTTGTCACTTGTAGGTATCAGCAGCTGTGAGTGTTCCCTTCTGGCAGAAGATTCTGCAGCGATTTGGCAAGAAATGTGCAGCATGTGGGATTTCGGTAAGCAAATCCTTTGAGGGCAAAAAAATCTGCTTGTGCTCACTTCATTTGACAACTGGAGCAACTTCAGGAGCTCTTTCAAGTGCTTATAAGCTCAAGCTACGAGAAATTTGCTCAGTTTCAGAGTTTGTTTTAAATCATTATACCAAATTTCAGACAGATTCCAAGTTTCCAAAGGAAATTTTTGAGAAATGGATTGATGCTGGAGGGAGGTCCCGGTTTATTTAGGAAACTGCACAAGCCGTTCATTTGTCTGCTCTCTGAAGTGAACCCCAGTGAGGTTTTATAAATTCAGATCTGAGTTGCCTCAGGTTGACAAGTTACCTGTTGTACAAGGCTTGCTTTGTCTTTGTATATGGTGCTGAGTTGTCTGCATGTGCAGTTCAGTCACAGAGAAGGAAACAGAAGTCTGTTACACACCCTCCTCTAGAAGCATGAGGAGCCAGAGGTGTCCACATCCCTCTGAACAGAGAGGGACAATTACTAGTGAAGTAAAGAAATAGGTGACCTACCTGCGAAAAGAAGCCTAGTTTAACTTTGACACAGGTCTGCAAAGCCAGCTCAGTGAGCCTGCCCTTGTCACTGATGGAATATTTAAGTCCTTCACTTAACGCAGGCAGCGGCAATTTTCTGTCATCATCCTCGGTGATTTATTGTACAGGCTTGTTCCTCCCCATTTTCCCCCTGTTTACCTTCAATTACTTATGAAAGAGGAAAGAAAAATTGCCTTGTGGACAACAAAGCATGAGGACTTTAAAAATCCAGCCTAAAGCTATATGTCAAAATCTGAAGAAAGCTGAAAAATTTAGTTCTGGTGGCAGTTATTGAATAGAATTGAACAGTTATAATTTTTGGAATAAAAAGCTGTGTTGGAATAACTTCCAAAGAATCAGAAGTAACTTTAAAACCCAAGTTCCAAATATGCTGAATTGTTATGTGTTTTGAAATAGGCATCTGGAATCCAAGTCCCATCCTCATTTCTTTTAACCACTTGAGCAAAGAGAACTGCCTGAAGCAGTATTGGACCATTGACTAGACCTGGGAATGCAGATTTCCTCCTTAGGAAATCTCCTCTGTCTACTTGGCTATGAAAAATGCTTTCTTCAACCAACTTGGCTCTATAAGTTTAGTTTTACATGGCTGGAAAGCCTGTCAGCACCTCTGTAAACATGGTTTAACTTAATTTTATAGTTGAGTTGCTTGACTCTTATGGTCTAAGTAGGGGCTGGATTGAAAAAAAGCCACCTCTCTGGTTCACCTTGTAGACATTTCTCAAGGGACTGAGCGTGTGCTCAGTGATGGATTTTGTGTCTGACAAGGCATCACAGGGTCCTTGTACACTACCACCTTGTGTGATCTGTTCAGCTAATATGTACCCTCCCCCTATGAAATGAAATAAAATCACATCATTTAAGGCTCTTAATTTGTCACTGGGGAATGTTACACTCAAAGGGAAGGAGACAGGGCAGAAAACAAGGGCTTTTTTTCTCAAAACCTCACTCAGCTTTCAGGATGAATATGTAATTTGAAATTCAGCTTCCTGAAAAAAGTCACTCTGCTCCAGACTAATTTTTCCTGTTAAGGTGATTCTATGTTGAAGAGAGTCCTCAAAGAGGATAGAAGGCAGGGTAGGTAAATAAGCAACAAGAATCTTGGCTTTCTTTCACTGGTACCATTCCCTTTTTTACTCATTCCTCCACAAGAGGTGACCAATGGTCTAGCTACTGACTAAACATCTGAAATTCTTAGAAGCTTAAAACCTAAACTTTCTGGAAGTATGGGGTCATACCTGAGCAGGACCCTGGATAGCATTCTTCCCATGATCAGGTTGGTGCACAGGCTAGAAATTATTCTTTTCTGTTTATTTGTTTCAACTCCCATGTGTGTTGTGGTTTGAGAACTCCAAAAATCCAATTCCCTAGTCCAAACCCTCTCCCACATCTCAACCCAGTGTGAGATGATTTTTCCAGATACCACACAAGACTCAAAATGGGGGAAAGGAAATATATTACAATGACTGTACAAAATAAATACTACAATACATTATATACAATCTTAATTATCTCTACCATGACATAAGTATTTACAATGGATCAAATCTCTTCTCCCCTCCAAATAAAAGTCCGGGAGGGAAGAAGGAAAAAGATCCCTTTCCACTCTCAGAGCAGCAATGTCTCATAGGCAGCAGGTCTATATGTTCATTTAGGTGTCTGCTCTGCCCTCATGGGGCAAACATTGAACTTACAGTCAGTAAAGTCTCATCTGGTGACTGGAGGAGAAATTGTCAAGAGTAATTTTAAGAAATGTGGCATCTTCTTGGTTCATGGTTTTGGCAAGGTGTCTAAAAGCAGAAGATGGCTCTTTCTCACAGCTCTAGCTTCCATCCTAGACAATAATAGCTTTTGGTTCTCGGTTTTTGGAGGATTTAGTAAAAATGAAAACACCTTCCCACAATAAAAATTTGTTTGCATCTATCAGTGCTGTGCAGTGTGGAGACATGCCTTTGGATGAATCCTGGCGCTGCAGCACCTTTTCCACTCTCCCATCCCCACTTCCCACTCACACCCTACCTGCACCTTTTCCTGATTTGCCCTTCATAATGTGCTGCTGCACAGACCAGTAACACCTTTAGCATCCCAGCAGGGTCGCCTTCCATAGTGCTGTCAGGGAATGGAAGACACGTGGTAACCACAGGACATCATTTATGACTTGGAGGGCAGCAGCCCTATGACAAGGGAGCAGGTGCCAGTGACAGAGTAATTGCTGTGCAAATAAGAAAGAAGGAGGTGTGTTAGCTGTTTATTGCAGCAGGAATTCTGCCCCCATAACTGCACTGCCATTGCATGAGCAAGACTTTAGGGCATTGTAACCTCAGTCCTGCAGGTTGTGCTTCTCTTTCAGTAGGAAATTACAGTTACAATGATTATTATTATTGATCTAGAATTTTGTTTAAGTGCTTTGGTTTCTGAGTGGGTGCCCCATGTGGAGTACAAGGCAGTCATAAAATTGCTTATAGATAACATAAAATCTTGTATTGCTGGAGTGCTCTCTTGTGGTGAAATAATGATTTTGCCACAACATTGGGCTAATGCGAGGATTATCTGCCTGTGCTGAGAACTTACAGTCAGGAAAGGTTATTTTCTTCCTCCTTAGGTTGGGAGAAAATGCTGTAGATGGGAAATGCATTTAAAACATAAACATAATGGATTAGACTCCAGGACTCCCAGAATCACTTATCCTGCAGAACGGTAAATAGCAGTGCCTAGGGGAATCACTCTCTGTGAAAGCTCTTCTCATACCCTCAGCTCCCAAGCTGCACGTATAGAGGATTGAAGCACTTAATGTTAAACTAATCCCCCATCACTAAAAAGCCCTGTAGATAACCCCCTGCTTCTGGGTTCTGCATGTGCTGCTGTGCCCATGGTTCACAGGCGTGGGAGATGGAGCATGTGATGGGTGTAGGACAGCTGGGCCACATGCATTCAATCAGCATTTAAAATAGTGGATTTTCAATCCTGCCAGCTCATTGCTTCAAGATGAAGTTGAAGAAATCTTGTGGTTGTAAGTACTGCCAAGAAAAAAAATCCTGAGCATCCCAACTTAGTTTGGTTTTGAGGGTAACCTTGGTGACTTGTGCAATGTCATGAGCGTATCTGGCTGTGTGGGGTGGGACTAAACTACCTTCCTGGGTTTAGTTATTGCTGACTATCTGTATGGCCTTAAAGTCATCATTGGAAATGAAAGTGTAAGCAAATTCTTCTGCATTCAAGATGATCCATGAAATGGTATATTTACAGTTTAAAATGACCATTGAAGCCCTCCCACTTCCCTTGAAATGCAGTGTGATGGTGTTTCAAGGCATTGTCACTAATAATCAATTAAACAGTTCCACTGACCTAGAATAGAAACAGGTACTTCATCATCTCTGTTACTAAACTGGCAGCAAAATCTTTGCCCAAGCTGATTAGCAATCTTTCAAGAACTATCAGTGTTCATGGATAATGGAAGAGCATCTGACATCATCTACCTGGAGTTAAGCAAAGCATTTGACACTGTCCCTCACAACATCGTTGCCTCTAAACTGGAGAGGCACGGAATTGGTGGATGGACCACTCAGTGAATAAGGAATTGGCTGGATGGTCATATCCAAAGAGTTATGGTCAACAGGTTAATGTCCAAGTGGAGAGCAGTGATGAGTGTCATCCTCAAGGGTCAGTACAGGGACTGGTGCTGTTTAACATCTTTGTCAATGACATGGACAGTGGGATTGAGTGCACCCTCAGCGAGTTTGCTAATGGCACTAAGCTGTGTGGTGCAGTTGACATGCTAGAGGGAAGGGATTCTATCCAGAGGAACTTTGACATGTTAGAGCGGTGGGCACATGCAAACCTCATGAAGTTCAACAAGGCCAAGTGCAAGGTCCTGCTTATGGGTTGGGAAAAGCACAAGCACAAATACATACTGAGCCGAGAATGGATTGAGAGCAGCCCTGAGGGGAGAAGAACTTTGGGATGTTGTTGACGAGACACTCAATGTGACCCATCAGTGTGCATTTGCAATCCTGAAAGCCAGCTGTGGCTCAAAAGCCCACGTGCATCAAAAGCAACGTGGGCAGCAGGCTGAGGGAGGGAATTCTGTTCCTCTGCCCCACTCTTATGAGACTCCACCTGGAGTATTGCATCTAGCTCTGGGGCCCATAATGTATGGAGGACATGGACCTGTTGAAGTGAGTCCAGAGGAGCCCACGAAGATGCTCTCTGCTACGGAGACAGGCTGAGAGAGTTGGGGCTGTTCAGTCTGGAGAAGAGAAGGCTCTGGGGAGACCTTGTAGCACCTTCCAATACCTAAAGAGGCTACAAGAGAGCTGGAGAGGACCTTTTAACAAGGGCAGGGAGTGATAGGACAAGGGGAATGGCTTTAAGCTTACTGATTTAGATTGGTTATTATGAGGAAATTCTTTACTGTGAAGGTGGTGAGGCCCTGGCACAGGTTGCCCAGAGAAGCTGTGGCTGCCCCATCCCTGGAAGTGTTCAAGGCCAGATTGGATGGGGCTTTGAGCAACCTGGTCAAGTGGAAGGTGTCTCTGCCCATGGTAGGGGGGTTGGAACTAGATCACCTTCAAGGTCCCTTCCCAGCTTCCTTGTGAGGGGAAGAGGAGGGGCAAACACTGATCTCTTGTCTGTGGTGACCAGTGACAGGACTGGAGGGAATGGCCTGAAGTTGTGTCAGGGGAGGTTTAGGTTGGGTATTGGAAAAAGGTTCTCCACCCAGAGGGTGGTTGGGTGCTGGAACAGCCTCCCCAGAGCAGTGGGCACAGCACCAAATCTGACAGAGTTCAAGAAGCATTTGGACAATACTCTCAGGCAAATGGGGATGGTCCTGTGCAGGTCTATGAGTTGAACTCAATGATCCTTGTGGGTCCCTTCTAACTCAGCATATTCTGTGATTCTACCTGGCCACAGTCTGGGAATCAACTCACTCCAGGGCTCTTCACAAAAAGTATTTATACGGCCACATGTCTTTCGGAGAGTATGAATGTTTAGGGGTATGATTACGACCAGGGTCTGTCAGTTGGCCTCATGACTGATAAATAGACTCTTGGGACTGTTGAATTTGCTAGTGCAGTTATAGCCCTAATACTGCTAAGAGACAGCACTACTGTGACTTGTCCTACTTTTCTCTGATTCTTCTGGATAGACAAGTACACATTTGCTCAGGCCTCTTTGGAAATGCTGAAATACCAGACATTGCTGTGTATGAACTGTTTTGTAACACAATTTCATATTTTGAAGGGAACAATCTGTATCCCACTGAGCAGTGCATACTGTAACTTGGATGTAATGCTGTTCTTCTTCCTCAGTGGATGATTCCTTTCGCAGTCATGCTAGTGACCATTCCAAACCTGATCCTGGCTTACCTCGTGGCTTTCGTCTCTGGTCTGAGCATTGCAGCATCTCTTCTGTTGCCATGGTAGGAGAATTTTACATTTGAGGTGGGGAAGGGATATATCTCTACACTACATGTATGCACTACTGCATGGAATTTGTCTCTGAAAAAGGTAGAGTTTGGCAAGAGTCACCTCCTCCAATAATCTTTTCTTCTTTTATAATTTGCAATGATGTGACTTTGGCTGCCCTATTGTTAACAGGTTAACTCTACTATAGCTGTAGCTGCTCTTTGTACACAAGAGTATGTAGATGAATCAATAATCTAAGTAGCTATATAACTTGTGATAACAGGAATTATGAAGTTTAGTAAATAAATTAATGCTGAGCAATTAAGAATGTAGCAGAGGAAGCCTAAGGCAAACTGTGCCTAACCTTTCTTTTTATAAGGGTAGTTACAGAACAAGGCAGAATGCCTTTAAACTGAAAGAGGGCAGGTTTAGATTAAATATTAGAAAGAAATTCTTTACTGTGAGATTGGTGAGGCACTGGCACAGGTTGCCTAGAGAAGCTGTGGATGCCACATCTCTGGGAGTGTTCAAAGCCAGGTTAGATGGAGCTCTGAGCAGCCTGGTCTAGTGGAAGATGTCCCTGCCTATGGCAAGGGGTTGGAACTAGAGGATCTTAAGGTCCCTTCCAACCCAAACCATTCTATGATTCTGTGTATCCCTGCTTGAGCAATCCTCTGTCAGAGATCAAATAACACAAGGTTATGATTAAAAAAAATAAAGAATTCAAGGTCCTTTGCACTTGAGGACTGAAAATATGCGGGGAAAATCTACTCAAGCATGAGCATGGTGGAGCATTTCCTCTTCAGATTAAATAATTATTTTCAGGTCAATTTGACCAGAAAGCAAGACTGCTGCTGTGAGCATTGTTTTGCATTACTCATTTGTACAATGCCCTGAAAACTCTAAGAGATCATGGAATACGTAGTTTGAAGTAAGTTGTCAGACTTCATAAGCTTTTCTGAACAGCGGGTGAGAAGCCCCGTTTTCCAACAGTAAATCATGACATATATTGGAAGTAAAATATCAATTCCCAATTGACTTTTGGGCAGCTTCCATTCTGATTCCCCATTACCAAATCCAGTTTCTTTGAAGTAGAGAGAATAGGGCTCATTGGTTTCTGAAAATGTTGTTAGCTTGTCAGAAGAGTTATTTCACAGTGAAACTATTCAGAGATTCAGAGTCACTTGAAAGCTTAAGAAACATGGGGGTTTTTTGTCGTTCTTTTGAACTTTTTGAACTTCTGATTGGAATGACAGTCAGACTAAGAAATTCTGTCACCTCTCAGCAAGTGTTTGATAGTTTTTCAATGGTTTTCTACATTGTAATACGTGACCATGCTTTACTTACACAATTTTCCCCCCTCCTCTCCAGCAGTAGAACTTTTTGAACTGGATTCTTTCATGTGCATCACTGTATCAATCAACCCCTAAAAATGGAAGAGGGCTGTGCTCAATTTCATTAAGTTTGGACTTTAGAAAGAAATTCTGGCTTGAGTTTTTCTTTTGTTTTGCTCACTTCTAGGTCAATGCTGCCTGATGTTGTTGATAACTTTCGCCTGCAGAATCCTCATGGAAAAGGACAAGAAACCATTTTCTATTCTTCTTATGTTTTCTTTACCAAGATGTCAGCAGGAATTGGCTTAGGAATTTCTGCAGCAGGACTGGAGTAAGTAACACAGTGTTTCCACTTACTGGACCTACTCTGAAAGCATTCTGAGGTTGCTCCACCTTTACCCTGTGGAGTTAATTGCCTTTTTGCCCTGAGCCTGGAAGTGCCAGCAGCTACAGATGGCTGACCACTAAAGACAGGATTGTTACCATCTAGACTAGACTGCTGAGCATTAAGTTGACTGCCCTGGTGTGTTTTAGTTCAGAAAGACTTGACTTCCCTCTATATTTTCCTCTTTTCAAATTACTCATGTAAATTTTAGTGGCTTATATGAATAAAGAACTAAACATGAAAGCACAGCAGATGAAGGTCCCACAGATGTGACACAGCTGCTTTGTGCATTCCCTGCCACACCTGGACTATCTGTACAAGCTTACAAGTCTTTACATGGGCTGCAGTGCTTTCAGGGGTGCCAGTGACCTGTTCAGTGTATAAGGATCACCAATTCCTACATGGTTTCAGGGAATTGGACACTGATCAGAGTCAGAAATGGTCTTTCTCACAGCTCTGCCCCTCACCATGTCATTCTGAAACATGCTTTATGTTCTCCCTCCACTTTTGTCTTGTCTGTTCTGACTAGACAGGTTGAGAAAGCGGACAGGCATCCCCTGCCCTGCCTTTGTGCATGATCTGGCAGAACTGGCCTGTGCCTGTCCCTGCTACAATAAACACTTAGAAGGGAACTTGTCTGAAATACTATCTAACCCTTGTCTCCAAATTAGGTTTTGGTAAGCAGAATGTTTTGCCTCAGGGCCTTCAGCTGAAATTGCTAAATTACAGTCAGTGCTTGGCTCAACATTTTGGGCTTAGGAATTTTAACTGCTTATTGCTAAAACGCTCAAACAATTTGCTGTTCCCCAATTAGCCTGTTTTCAGTTGCATTCCAGTTAGCTCCCAGCAATTTGCCAAGGCAGATGTTTGTGGGAGAACACAGAAGACAGAGAGATGCCAAATGAGCTGTCGCTTTTTTAGGTGCATGTTCAGAGGAAAAACTCATTCCACAAATTGGAAATAGGAATTTGAGTATATCAGCAATTGTGGGACTGCATGGAAGCCCTGAATCAATGAAGTATAAGTATGTACCTAACTCTAAGCACTTGAGTAAATTTGTCTATCTTGAGAAGAGTGCTTAAGTGTGTGTTTAAATTAAAGTTAATTATTGCTGCTGAAATTGGTCAAATTGCTTGCATACTCTTAAAGCAGAGCTTAAATACTTCACTGAATATTAATTAGGAAACACGTAACAGATAATTTCACAGAACCACAGAGTCACAGGATGGTTCAGGTTGGAAGGAACCACAGTGGGTCATCTGGTCCAGCCTCCCTGCTCAAGCAGGGTCATCCCAGAGCACATGGCACAGGATTGTGTCCAGATGGTTCTGGAATATCTCCAGTGAGGGAGACTGCATACTCTCTGTGGGCAATCTTCCAGTGCTTGGTCACTCACACAGTGAAAAAGTTCTTCCTCATATTCAGGTGGAACTTCCTGTGCATCAGTGTATTTTCTTACATGGGATTCCACAATTCTTGCTTTAGAAGTATGCAGGTAATTTGGCCAGTTTCAACAGCAATAATTAACTTAAATATGATATAATAATAATAATAATAATAATAATGAGAAAATACAGAGGTAATACAGTTATCTGAAGTTGAGCGCAAAAATGAATTTTGAACAATAATATTTGAAACATATAGTGGGGAAAAGGAAAAAAGAGAGGCGTAGGGAAAATGGAGAAAAGGTCTTGAAGAGTGTTGGGGGAGAGAAAGAAGGCTTCAGATGAACTGCCTTTTGACTCTGAACGTACACACACCACTTATTTCCATTTGTTTAGGTTTACTGGATACAAACCAGGGATATGCAGACAGTCAGATGACGTGATCCTCACCCTGAAAATCCTCATTGGAGCGGTCCCTGGTATCCTCATCTTTATGGGTTTATTTATACTCTTTTTCTACCCAATCACTGAACAAAGTCGGAAAGAAACAAAGCTTGCGCTTGAAGAGTTAAGGTGGGTTTGGACTGGCAGCAAACGGGAGCAACGTCCCTGCAGTAGCTCTCAGTCATACTGGGCAAAAAATCATTAACTGCCAACATACACCTCTGTATTCCTTAAAACAAAACAAAACAACACTCTATTAGTCAAATTATTAACAGAATGGTAGCATTACATACTCCAGTATCTCATTTTTGGAGTGTAGTATGACCTGCTTAGAATACCATTTATCAGAAATATCAGCTGGTGTGTTTTTCTCTGGGGTGGCTAACAAAGCGCTATTGTGGTACAGTGTTTCAAGCCATAACTGAGGAATATTCTGTGTGGATTAAATTTCTGGAGAAAATATGAATAGTTAAAATTTACTTGTATATAGAAAAGGAGTGGGATTGTTGACTGCATTCTTGGTGTTTATGGCATACAAGAAATATCCAAACCATTTAGAGGCGTGGGCAGAAAAGACTGTGGGAGAAAAAGAGAGGTCAGCTTTGAGCTATTCTTTGCCTTTTTATCATGTCGCTCTCCCTTCCTCCCCTTTCCTCCTTCTCCAAAGATAATCTCATCTAGCTCAAATTTATCCACCTCTCTCAAATGATGCCTCTTTATACTGAGGACATCCCTAAGAACAGTCTACCCTAGCAGACTGATGGATTAAATATCAGAGTATGCTGTTATTTTTGTCTTGTTTTTACTATACCAAGTTACTGGAATTGGGAACTGATTTCCATGCTAAGGGATCCATTCCAGGGCCTAAGCATGTGTATCTGGGACCAGTTCATTCCCTAAGGTATCTAAGATACCTGCATGGGGTTTGCAAATATGCCACAGGCCTCTGGTACACCAGCTGCTTTTTTTTCAGTGGCAGCTGCAGATTGGAGGGTACAGGGTAAACAACCCAAAACTGGGACTGATCCCTCTGTTTAGGAGCTTCAGTCACTGTCCCTAACAACCACACCTTACTGGAGGTTGTCAGCTCTTTGAGATTGCTAACTAACCAAACTCAGTTTGGCATCGAAAGCCAGAAGTGTGTTCATGTGTCATTTGCTCTGCTTTAAACAGGAGGAGCCATCAAAGCACAGAGAACTTGGATGACCACAAAAAGGACACCTCAGTCTGAAAGCTCTGAACACAGTGACTTTCCAAATATGGACTCACATCCTACCAACAAACCCCGTGAGAGTTTTCTAGGTCATTTCTCTGCTCACATTTTATCAAAAAGGATAAAGAATGATTCTGACATAATAACAAAATCAAGAGAGGACACCACTGTGCAAATATACACCTAACTCCATGCACTGTGCTAAAAAGGACATTACATGTGGTCAGGAAAGAAAGCTATTGAAGGCTTGAGGATTTTTTGTTTGTTTTTCAATGATTAATGGAAAACTGTGATCTCGTTGCGCAGGAGATTCTATAGATTTGTAGGTCAAGAGGAAAAAAAGTGCAAATGTGACCCTAGAGTTATAAAATGTCCTGAATTGAAAAGGACTCACGAGGGCCATTGAGTCCAATTCCTGATGCACCACCCAAATATTAACTCACAATATATTTCACCCTTGGAGGCTGGGGTGGATTTTGAGCACAATCTCTACCTGCAACTTGCACACTAGCGTGTTTGGGAAGCACTTGTGAATACTGAAGTATATTATATAGAGTTAGGATTTATTTTGTTTTGAAATGAAGCAAATCACTGATGCAGACATGTTTTGAGGATTTTCTCATAAAGTTTTTTCTGAAAGAGATTTTGAGGTAATTTAACTTCATAGATTTTATATAAAACAGAACCCTACAATTTGTGTTACTGATGTTTCTTGCTTCTGAAACCTGTAAACTGATTTCTCTCAGAGAATGAGAACATTTTCAAAATCAACATCTGCACTCAGGATATGCAAAATCAGAAGTCTGCTCCAAAAATTATCATTCCAAAAAATATCATTCAAATGTCTATAAATTTTGGCTTTTCAATAATCGTGGTACCCATTTCTCACGTGGTGTAGGCTCCCTGCCTCACCAAACACAGTGGCACAGCTGCTAATCTCAACTTGCACTTATTTTATAATAATGAGGCTACACCTGCCTTTTAAGTGGTGGTTTTTTTCAGTCAGGGATGTTATCATGCTTTAGATACATTAACTGAAACCTCATTTCTACTGTAGATTCACACTGCTGAACACATTTTGTAGATGAAGACACACCTAACCTCAGGCACCTTCCGGAGCACTTAAGTTGAGATCTGTTCTTTCTGGGCTTCTGTAGTCAGTACAGAGACCTTGAGAGACTGGCTCCAAGCTTAAGCTAAAATGACTGGACTCTGAAGATGTATCTAAATCTGGAAAGAACAGTGAGGAATTTAAGAGTTAAAGGCTTGTTCACCTCAAAGAAATTAGCACAAGACAAGACATGAATTTCAGCTCACTGCCTCCACTGTATGACTCTGTGAGAGGGTGCCTTTGTGTTGTACCAGAAGTGCCTTTGGAGGACTGGCTTGCCACTGTTTGGGAGGACTTGGAGGCTGTGGCCACAAGTACTTCACTCAGGGCCATCTGGGAGGTGACTCACAGTGCTGGGACTGGAAACTGGGAAAGCTTTTACTGAAGGACACTGCAGTAAAATCAGTGCAGCTCCGAGTATCTCCTTAAGTTTAGTACTGAAACTTTGTCAGGCAAGTTTGAAGTCTCAGCCATATGAACTGTCCTAATTCAGCAAAATGCTTGATCATGAGTGAGCTTCTAAGGATATATTTTGACTGTGTGTGGGTAAGAGTTAACTACATTTAAGATTTCTGTTGAATTGACATCTAAGGCTCTTTGTTCTTGTTTTGTTTTTTTGACAAATCAAGATTTGTATGCCTGGGGCATATATGTTTAAAGCAATAAAAACCATAAGCCTGTTTACAATTTTGAGTCTGATGGAATTTGAAATAGCAGATTTACTGCACTTTGAAGTAAGTTATGTAGGTAAGTTATGAAGCAATGTCGCATAGCTCCAAAACATCACAGAAAACAGTTTTGGGCGTTTGATTTATTCTGTAATATTTGTGTATTTCTGAATAGTCAGCTTTAAAAACAAACAGAAGTCTCAATAAAGGCTGTTAATGTTTTTTAATGGGTTATGTTTTCAGCTGCTATAAATCTGTAGCTACAAGGCAGTGGGTCCGTGTCAGTTTATATAAGCTGAATCCTCAGCCCAGTGATAAAAGGGTTGCAGAACTACTGGCTGGGGTTGAATAGAATTATTTGAATGTGGCTTAATATATTATTTCTAGATCAGTTGTGCAGTTGCCTCTAAATTGCACAACACCCAATCCGAATTCAGACTAGGTAACTCAGTTGATTGTAAACTGTTTTCCTCTTCTCTAGAGAGACAATGTGATCTTTATCTCCCTGAGATGTACTCAGTCCTCACTTTGCATATGGTAGCAGCAATGGGAACTGCTACAAGAAAAGAGAAAGCTGTAGATAAAATGGAGCAGACTATTTTTATATTTCAAAAATCTCATTATTTTAGTTGATTATCAGAGTTGTACTTTTGTTAAGAAAATGAATGTATTTTTTTAAGTTAAAAGAATGGAAGACTTAAGTGCAGGTTAAGATTATTTTTGTACTTTTCTTTTTTTAGGTCTCAGTGTTGGTGCTGTAAAATGAATGAGCTTTGTATGTCTCCTTGTCAGTTTTAAATTATGTCTTTGCCTTACATATGTTCAGAACATGTGACTGAAAGAAGCAGATTCTTCTGTTGACAACCATTCAGATTAAATGATAATCTAATGTAAACCTCCTGCCTTCCTGCTGCTTGGCAGTAACAGGACCCAGTTTCAATCCCCAGGGGTTCTCATTCAGGTAATACCCAAATACAGTCATAAGAACATGGGAGATTGCATTAAACCAGTTGGGTGCCTAATGGACAGCACTTCCCCACCAGCATGCAAGCAATTCCAACAAATGGATTTACACAGAGGAAGGAAAGGGAAAGATAATGGAGTTACATGTCACTGGGTAGTGTTCCATAAGGCAAACCATGCCCAATTTCTTGTCCTTGCTGAAGTATGGTGATGGCAGCCCTAATCCTCCATACTGGGCTGGCTGCTGGCAGTCAGTAGCTGAGCTGGTAACTAGTCATAGACTCATAGAATCATTAAGATTGGAAAACACCTTTAAGATCATCAAGTCCAACTGTCAACCCAGTCTCCTCTTTGTTTCATCGGCCTTGTAGTTCCTGCCTAGCAATAATCACAGAATCTCAGAATATGCTGAGTTAGAAGGGACCCACAAGGATCATCGAGTCCTGCAAAGGACCATCCGCAAGAGTCAGACCATGTGCCTGAGAGCATCATCCAAACGCTTCTTGGACTCTGTCAGCCTTGGTGCTGTGACCACTGCCCTGGGGAGGCTGTTCCAGTGCCCAACTACCCTCTGGGTGAAAAACCTTTTTAATATCCAACCTAAACCTCCCCTGAAGTCTTCCAAGGTTACACCATCTTCCTGAGTGACCAGGTCCCTGCAGGTCACAAGTAACCACACATCCGAGCTGCTGCTCCCACCAGGCACAGGTGGAGGGGGTTGGTTGCTGTTGGACACCAGCTGTGTCTCCTGCAGACGTGTTCCCCCTCCTGCCTTGCTGTGCCTGCAGGTCTCTGAGCTCCCTGACCTGCTTCGGCTTAGCTGGATTAGATCCCTTGTGCTGAGTCCCCCACTTTAATAGGTGGATACCACCTCAGACATCTGTCCCTGTGGAGTTCCTGAAGGCTGGGACCTTCTGTGTCAGGTCATTGGATTTTCAGGGAGGCCTCTGAAGATTTGAGTACTAATTCCTTAAGTCACTCCTGTACCTTATAAGAATTGCTGCTCAGTTCAATCCCTGCTGCATCCTCTCATCTCTGTTCACCTTCTGCATTCCCAGTAAAGCAGTTAAGTGGACGCTGTTTCAAAGCAAACCCTGCTTTTGGGTTCAGAGTTTTTTTCCAAGTATCACTTGTTCATTTCCTTCTCTACTTGCCTTTCTGGGCTGTAGACAGAAAGCCCAAAATTAAATCAATCTTCTTGAGAGGAAGAATTTCCATAAGGGAAACTCATGTCCTTTCAGACATGGTATTTTTTGTCCAGATCTGAAGATGAGGAAGAGAGGGCAAGTTAGTTCAAAGTCCTTTTCAATAGGGTACAGCCAGTAGCAGTCTAGTGCTTAGTGGTTAATCATATACCTCATATGAATTTCATATCACAGTTATGTAAAAACAGTCTCAAACTGTTACAATAGAGTCTTTCCCTTCAGAAAACTTCTAGACTGATTGATGGAAAGGTGAGTTGGATTCACACAATTGGCAAGAGAGGGAAGGATTTTTGTTTTCCTACAATTTTTGGGATTACCAGTTCCTTGAGCTCCACTTTTTTTTTTTTTAAAGCTTTTTTTAGCCTTAACTCTCTGCAAGACCACAGTTCAGATACACAGCAAGAGTGCTGAGTATTATGGTTACAAAAATGTGTGTATGTTGTAGGCTTAAAGTATGAAATCAGAGAGCTTTCACATAACTAAGCACCAAATCTGCTGCACAAACCAGACACTATCTCACCGGGAAGATTCTTTGAGACCCCACCTGGAGTGCTGCATCCAGCTCTGGGGCACCCAAAATAGGAAGGATGTGGACCTGTTGGAGTGAGTCCAGAGGAGGCCATGAAGATGCTTAAGCGGCTGGAGCACCTCCCCTGTGGAGATAGGATGAGCGAGTTGGGGTTGTTCAGCCTGGAGAAGAGAAGGCTCCAGGGAGACTTTAGAGCACGTTCCAGTGCCTACAGCAGAGCTGGAGAGGGACTTTTTACAAGAGCCTGTGCTGATGGGGCACATGGGGGAAATGGCTTAAAAGGGACAGAGAGCAGGTTTGGATTAGATATTGAGAAGAAATTATATTCTATGAGGGCGGTGAGGCACTGGCACAGGTTGCCCAAAGAAGCTGTGGCTGCCCCCTCTCTAGAAGTCCTCAAGGCCAGGTTGGATGGGGCTTGGAGCAACCTGGTCTAGTGGAAGGTGCCCTGCTCATGACAGGGGGGTTGCAACTAGAGGATCTTCAAGGTACCTTCCAGCCCAAACCATCTGGAGATTCCATGAAATGAGCAATACTATTAATGTAAGGATTTCATTGAGATTCCTAGGGTTATACTTCAAATGCAGTATTTGCCCACATGCACATAGTGCACTATGAAGAGCCAGTGTAATCCCTTGACCAAACTACTGGCACCTTCTAGTGGGTGACTTGCACTTGCTGTGCCTGCTCCAGTTATCCCAGATGGCAATGTCCTGTGTAGCTCCTGGTGCTCACCTGGGGAGCTGGAGGAACTCTACAAATCTGTTTGGTGCAACCTGAGCCTGAGCACGCTTCTGGTGGGAGACTGTCTTTTGTCAATCTAGACATAATGCAAATAGGTAATAATTCCAAAATAATCAGATAATTTTTATACACTGTTTTCCTGCTTAACAAACTTATAGAAGCAGCACTTGAGGCATGAGCAATTCAAGGCCAACATATCATACAGAGCCAAGAGCGCTCAGCCCTAACCCTTTCCTCCTAAGTGGGTTAGTGGGATGTTGAAATCAGGAACAGGCATGAAAAAGGTCAGGTGGCTGTGAAGAAACACGGACCAACCCCAGCATCCAGCCTGCTTTGCATGCACACCCAGTGCTCAGGCTCTGGACTCAGTGACTTTCTGGTAGCTGTAATCACAGACCACCTCCTGATTAAACAGTGACCATTACAGAGAACAGATGATTGTTATGTAAAGGATGAAGCCCACAGCTGCCAAATGATTTCACCTGTTTCCCTCCTCCCCTATTCATCAAAAGCTGTAACTTCAAGTTGTGTACCACCCAGTGCTGAGTGTTCTCTGCAGCTTTTGCTAGTGTTGTAACTTTCATATCATATTTTTGTGGGCAGATGATTTTTTTTTTGAGAGTGGCTAAATTTCCAAAAAGGCAATAAATAAAAAAAAAGGGATTATATTAGTCCTGAGATAGCAGCTCCAATTCTTTAATCTAGTCACTTGATGCCCTCTCACATACTAAGTGCCACTGTGAAAGCCTGATAAACTGCTTAATGTTATCATGCTGTGATTTTATGGGGAGCAATCTTGGATTAGTCTTTTCTTCAGTGCTGCAATCCACGTTACATAAACTTGTGCTTACATAAACTTTTTCTAATTTCACCTTCGCATTTTCTCTCTCTTCTCTCACTACAAAAGCCCATGGAACATGCTCTTCTGTCAGCTTTTAACTGGATGTTCTCACTGCAAAAGACAAGACACATGACAGCCACTTCCCCAAACCCACACAGAGACAGAAGCACAGAGAGGTGTGAAGGGCAGGTGCAGGAAGGGAAAAGGCTCTTGCTTCTGCACACTATGGATAATCCATATGAACCTACTTTGTCCCAAACTCCATGAACCTAAACTGGTGCTTACACCAGTGCAAACCCACTTCTGCAGGCACTGTTCCTAAGTATCATCAGTGTAATATTTCAGGCTTTGGCAGAAGGGAGGAAATGGGGGACAATGCAGCATTTTCAAGGATTTCTTTATTATCCAAGTTTCCTATTGTCTAAAAACACCACTGTATTAAAGACCAAGATGGAAAGTTGAGCTCAGAAATTTGTAGTAAGAATGGGCATTTTCAAAAGAGCTGGTCTGTACTGCAAGAGGCATAGTTAAAAAACACTGCTCAGTATAAAAAAAAAAAGTGAATGTTTCCAAGGATCAAATAAATAATTTACAAAGTAAAAAAAAAATTACAGAAATCCAACAGAGATGTGAGACTGCTGTTGAGAACCCACAGTCCTACACAGTAAATGTAAAAGCCCCCCCATCATCAGACAGGCATCACAAAATCACTGCCAAAAACTACACTTTATTGCCCGGCTGCTCCGAGGGGCTGCCGCTGTCCAAGGTCTTGGAAGAGCAGTCCCTGAGGACTTCCGAAGTGATATCCAGGCTTTCAGAAGGAGCGGATCTGCACCCTTGTGTGGAGCTGATGATGTCCAAAGTTTTGGAAGAACGGGCACTGTAGCCCTTTGCACTGGCATCTCTTATGCAAACGTCAGCGGGACAAAGCCCTCGCTGTCCGCTGTGAGAACGATCCAAGAGGAACCTGTGAGCACACGTAAACATCTGTTGATGATTTTT